ACGTTGCAATCTCCAAGAGACATAGAAGAACTGCAGAGCGTAGATGGAAAAAATCTGGCTTAGAGATTCATAAACAAATGTTCAACAATGCTCGTAATGATGCAAACCGCTGTATTAAAAAGGCTAAATCTACCTACCTGATTAAAGAGATTTCCAAACACTCTACAAATCCCAAAGCGCTTTACTCTACATTGGATGTTTTATTGGGTAAGAAGTCTGAAGTCGTATTGCCTCAAGGTGAAGATCTACATGTCGCCAACAGTTTCAGTTCATATTTTTCCGAAAAAATTTCAAAAATTCGAGAAAGTTTCGATTCTACTAGTGATGTATTGTCTGTTGCAGAATTCCCAGGTGCCAAATTGCAAGCATTTGCTGATGTCACAGAAGCAGATGTTAAAAACATCATTCTACATTCGAAGCCAACCTCTTGCCAACTAGATGTTCTTCCTACAAAGTTCCTTCTCAACATATTGGATGTGATTCTGCCTATCATTACTAAAATCATTAATCAAAGTCTAAACTCCGGAACTGTTTCTAAATGTTTCAAAAGGGCTGTTGTAAAACCCCTTCTTAAAAAACCATCATTGGATTCTGAGGTGTTTAACAACTATCGCCCTGTTTTAAATTTTCCAAAGTTTTAGAAAAAGCAGTCAAAATACAACTTGTTGAGCATCTCACCTCGTTTGTACTACTTGACAAATATCAGTCAGCTTATAGAGAAGCCCACAGCACTGAAACCGCCCTAATTTGTGTTCTTGATAAAATAAAGATGTCTGTCGATGCTGGAAATATCGGTTTGCTAGTGCTTCTAGATCTGTCTGCAGCATTCGATACCATAGACCACAGAATACTGCTTGATCGGCTGCAACTGGAATACGGTTTAGACAATAGTGTCTTGAAATGGTTCTCATCATATCTGACTGACAGGAAACAATGCGTAGAAATAAACAAGGTGAATTCTGGTAGTTTATTTATTTCGTGTGGTGTCCCCCAGGGATCTGTTTTGGGACCCATTCTTTTCACCATGTACACACGATCACTAGGCAAGGTTATTCGCGAGAAGCATGTTGATTACCACGCCTGTGCAGATGACACTCAACTTATTGATAGTTTCCATACCGATCTTCAATACCAAAAGTCTGTATGTCTGAACATGGAATCTTGTATTGATGCAGTCAAAACTTGGATGTCCTCAAACATGCTTAAGTTAAACGATTCAAAAACTGAAGCCTTGTTAGTAGCTCCAACGCAAAGGCTAAAAAAGAGCCACGCAGATGTTCTTAACATCGGCCAGTCCACCATATATTTTTCTGATACTGTGAAGAATCTTGGTGTCTTCCTGGATTCTGGACTAACTATGGAGAAACACATTAGTTATTTATGCTCAATCTGCAATTTTCACTTGAGAAACATAGGTGCAATTCGTCATTTTCTGACAAATGAATCCGCAGCAATTTTAATCAGATTTTTGGTAATGTCACGATTAGATTACTGCAACAGCTTACTAACTGGTGTGTCATTGGAGCAGTTATCCAAATTACAAAAATTACAGAACAGAGCAGCCAGAATTGTGACCAGAACTAAACCGCGAGAACACATTACTCCAGTATTGAAATCGTTGCATTGGCTACAACTTCGTGAAAGGATTGATTATAAAATTCTGTCGCTCACCTACCAATCAGTCCACAAAACCTCTCCAGATTACATTCAAGATCTCACAGTACAATATGTGCCGAACAGAATGCTAAGATCTTCAAAGCAATCACGTTTATATAAACCTGACATCAATTTAAAAACATTTGGTGCGCGATCGTTTGGTTATACATCAGCTGCATTGTGGAATGAACTACCCGAAGATATCATAAGTTCCTCATCACTAGATATATTCAAATCAAGAATAAAAACTTACTTATTTAGACGCTATATATAACTCGTAGTGAGATAACTTTTTAATGCGCTTCGAGCATACTGAGGTGTGGTGTTACAGCGCTATATAAATATTATTATTATTATTATTATTTATTATGACAGCGTATCGTTTTAAAAGATGGCGACCTTAGTAACGGCTTAGTAACAATTTTAAAAACGACGATTTGTACCCGTTTCAGGTAGGATTATATGCTAAACTGTAGTTGGATGTGGCAGAAATATTATAAATAACAATAATCAATCGTTGTTTTGATTAAAAATATTGTCAATTTTGTTTACAAAAGCCGGGTGCGAATCGCTCCCGCGTGTGCTACGTTGGAGTTAATAGCACCAACTCTTATCTCGAAACATGGAGGGTTGAGAGGTAAGATTTGTTATCTATGTTCACCGGTGTTCAGCGTTAATGAGCTCTTAATCCCTCTTAATAAAATTTATTAACCAACTAATTAATAATATTTTGAACACAGTTCATGCCGGCGTTATGCCTTCAAACATGAATTCAAATCACTATATTAATATAAATAGATGGTCGATCTGTGTCGAAATTATATTTATTTTAAAATGGCAAACGTTCAGGTAATATTCGCTTATCTCCAATAATCGATGTGGCCGGAATTTAAGTACCGAATAAAGTTAAGCAAAGTGTAAATTGTAATGCATTTTTATATGTGTAAATTATTTAATTTTATTTAATAAATGTTAAATTTGTTAAAATCAATATATTTTTATATGTGTAAATTATTTAATGTTATTTAATAAAAGTATAAATTTGTTAAAATCAATACAGTTTTATTCTTAAAAAAGATACGGACTATAGTTTATAACATCATTGTTTTAGGATTACATCCGCATTAGCGGCAAAATTTGACATCAAAATCTGCCGGCAAAGTGGGATCATCCCGAAAACTGCCGCTTGCTGGTATATCCTATCCATGTTTGTTTTCCTATCGGTTCTTGCTTAAGATTAACTGTTTAGCGTATCTTTGCTTTAGTGTGTTACGTTTAATTTGATCGGGAGACCTGTTCGTCGACGTCAACGTCAACCGACAACACTGCAAGAATTGGCCGTGGCACTGCAAGAGGAGTGGGCCAGATTGCCCCAAATCGTGATTGGACGGTTGATTAGGAGCATGCCACGACGAATTGCTGAATATCTGAGGATTGATGGAACAATTACTCATTATTAGGACAAAAATCTAAAACGCCTATTTTCACTTTTGACAGTTAAATGGGACCGTCAGATAAGCCGCCCATATGAACTGTTTATGCTCATCTGTAGGCAATTAAGATGTTATTAGCATACACTGGTTACCTCTAATAAAAACAGCAGTGAGTTTCCGCAGTTTTGTATTGTTTCTGAATATCCCCTACTTTTTTTTGAATAGTATATAACAACACCAGGTCACCCAACCCCCTAGCTACATACACGTCTGTTATATAATAACATTAGAAAGCACCCCCCCCCTCCCTCCAAGCTACATACGCCACTATGCCCCACGCTACATGCGCAACATGTAATAACAATATAGACCCCCCAACACCCACACAAGCTACATACGCCACTATTATATAATAACATTAGATCACCCAACACCCTAGCTACACACGCCACTAATATATAATAACAGTAGAAAGCCGCCTCACCCTCACCCCCACCGAGCTACATACGCCACTATTATATATTAACATTAGGTCACCCAACCCCCTAGTTACATTCGCCACTGTTATATAATAACAGTAGAAAGTTGCCCCACACCCACCCCATCCAAGTTATATACTCCTCTATTATAGACAAACCAACCATCCTAGCAACATACGCCATCCCCACCCCCATGGATGTATACGTTAACCCGGCCCAAGCAACCAATTAAGAAAAATACCAAACCAATAGATGTGCTTGTCAGGGTTGAATAAATAATCAGCCCGTTCTTTGTCTTGAGTTGTTACGGATGTATGAAAATGGTCCAGCTTTGTGAAACTGTAATGTCTGAACAGAAAACAGTCGGTTCATTTTCATTAATAAAATATATGAGCGAACATATTGGAGCGTAGTCAGCGATCCAGGACGAAAATTAGCCGTCCAATATGATACGAACACGAGTATTTCTTTTAATTTCTTACAACAGATACATTCTTGTATTTTCTCAAAGTGAATTCCGGTGTCTTAAAGTAATTTATTATTAATGCAAAAATAATATTAGTAAGTGGAAATTCCGATATGTTGAAAGTGAATGAAGGGAGATCGGAGACGCTCCTACACATTTTAGCACAAATGCCGTCATAGTGTGGATTGTGGTTAAGGGTTAGGGTAAGGGTTAGGACCTGCAGATTTCGACAAAGTGTCGTGATGGAAACAGGGCTAGGCTAATCCTTATACTCTAATCCTAACGCAGAATCCACATATGACTTCATACATGTATGTGCAAGACTGTCTCCGATCTAGCGTTCTCCTACATGAATATCTGACTGGTTGTACTGTAAGGTCGCATCCGGCGTCGTACGAGCGACTTTTGACCCTATGACGTTCCGCGGAAACGTCAAGAACTCGCCGTAACAGACCGTTTCATTGGCTAATCCCTCACTTCAACCAGAACTCCGGTAGGCTAATTAACAACTTTTCCAAATCCTAAGTGTAGTAAAGACAAGCAAAACGAGATTTTGAACTATCAAAAACGAAACGAAATAGGATCTGCATGTTTTTTAATCAGATTGATTCAGTGCTTTATAAATAGATCATTATTGTTATTAAGATCTTAAGTGCGAATTCTAATATTTTGAAAGTGAATGCCGGTATTACATGTATATGTTTTCAAAGTGAATTCTTGTGATTTTCGGTGTTTTAACTAATTCAATATTAATATTACTGTAAATATAAGTAAATAGGAAGATTTGGCGGGCGAATTCTGATATCTTCAAAATTAGTTCTGGTGAATTCCGGGGTTTATAATAATTTCCGGTGAATTCCCGTGATAAGTCTACCCGCACTTGATTATAAAGATGGTGCGTGCGAAAAAACCCCGCTATTTTGAGCAGATTACAAATATGATCACATGAATCAAGTACAACTTCAAGGGAGGTAATCGATAGCAGCAAAAATTTTAAGCATACCTTCTGTGCTTCTTAGAAAATTTGTTTTGTTTATCACTATCAGTCTTAAACGGACAGGTAATTGGTTTTATGGTGGGCAAGAAGCTATTAAGCAATAGAGAATCACTGTTTTTGTTATTTTGTATCAAGGCGCTATGCTTTAGCAAAAATGGTCTGGTACAGTGTCACTCTACTCACACTGTCAATGCAATAACTCGTCAATATCAATCATTGGCATTGCCGCATTATGGCATGGGTCAAACAGTAATCACAAATATTTAATTTATCCGTTTAAAATAATATGTAACAGGCATTGCCTGAGTAGAGCGAAGCTGATTATTGTCAAATATAAAACCTTCATGATTAATTTTCTCAAGTGATACAAAAAATGTTAAATAATTTAGTTTTTATTAAGATCTAAATTAGATCTATATACATTAATTTTGTTTTTTAAAAAAAGAACAAAAAAGTGTGAGAATTATTTTCATTGATGTAAAAAATATGTGACGTCATTGATTAGACGCATCATAAAAATAGTTCTATGAGGCGCGTAATCTCGCTTGGGCGAGATTTGGTGGATATAATTAGTTTTGTTAGTTACGTGATCTCGCTTGGGCGAGATTTGGTAAGTTGACATGCACATTGCCTGTTTTGCCCAGTGTATCCGTGGTGCTTTGGAGCTTCGCTCTATATAAATATTTATTCAGGTTTTTAGCCGATGCATTCAGCAATTCGTCGTGGCATGCTCCTAATCAACCGTCCAATCACGATTTGGGGCAATCTGACTGGTATTGTTGCCCAAAAGCAAGTTGATTGTTGATATTGACAGTATTTTTCGTTACCGGTATATTTTTCTGATTATTTTCGTTGAGGGGAGACGATTTAGACATTGACGCGAGCTATAAAAAGCGCACCTCGACTGACATCCAGGAGAGCGAGAACAATCGCCCTCCTTTTACGTGAAGGCCTGCTAAAAATACAGTTTTTGCAAAAATGACATTACTTCCGGGGATAATAAAAATGTAAAATTAGTTCTATGAAATCATAAATGACATAAGGCATCACATGGTGAAAATTTTATGAAAATCGAATAATGATTCACACTTTTATAGACCAAAAGTACATGTACATGTATCAGGAAGTGCATTATTGGCTTAATCAGAAAAATCTGATTCAGATTGTACAATGGTATGCAGCCTCCTCCCTTACCAATTACTCTCACTCAAGAACATGATTTATTTCAGAACAGGAAAAAATATTTTATAAGAAGAATGAATACAAAACAGATATATGATTGGGGTGGAGTTAGTAGTGACAGTATTAAACGATCAGTAGATAGAGATTATTATGGAGGATGGTCAGGTGACTACGATCAGACCAATAAAAACAAAAGATATGGATTGATGTCCGAAGGCACCATCAGCTACCCTGATCCGTCAAAATACAGACAACAGTCGTCATCCACTATTAACCGTGGTATTGGCGATAACCCAGATTATCCTGCTGTACCATCTTATAGTAGAAATACACAACCAAGGTACATGTACTTCTATTATTCTTTGCTATTCTTTGTGTTCATGAAAACTGGTGACTTTAAAAACAGTATCACATGTAAGGCCATGTAGAAAAAATATTCTGGTTCACAAAGACTCCTGCCTCTTTTAAAATGAGCAGCATGACCTGTTTTCATTTTAAAAAATAAAATAAAAGTCTTATTAATTATGTAAATGTTTTCCCTTGTCAGTGATGCTGGATGGAGGGCTTGACAAGGACAGCTATCTAGTCGTTCGGATTTGACAAAAAACCGAGGTCCCGTGTACACATTGGAGTGCACGTAAAAGATCCCTTGACAGTTGGAATTCGATATAAGAGTAGGCGGTAGCGCCGCTGCCCGGGCAAAATTTCCCTCATAGCACACTGTATGGCGTATGCCCGTCTTCATTAGCCCAGTTTAGGAGCAGAACAGTAGGACGTTAAACCCCATTTCATTTCATTGTAAATGTTTTCCCGGGGTTACAGGAATGAGTTAGAAAATGTACCGTAGGCTCAATTATCGAGTACACAATCCCGATAAATGTTATTGATACCGGTATTCATAAATGATACTGGATATTCAAACATTGAACAATATGATAAGATAAATGTAGTGCCTTGAAATGTGGTGTTTGTGAGAAGTCATTTAAGCCCACTATTGATCATTTGACATAATAAAACACAAAAACAAAAACTTCACCACTTATCCGATTTTTGGGAATAATTCATTGTCAGAGAACAAGAATTATATTTTTTGTATGACCTAAGTATAATTAAAATAATCAATATTATTAAAATATTTGACCTTCTGTTTTCCATGGATTTTAAATGTAGTTATTATTGTTTCAGCAATAGGTAGGCATTAATTTAATTTGAATACAACTGATGTAGGCCAACTCTTTATCAAACTGAGTCAAATACAAAATTATTTTTTCATAGACTGGCAAAGTCAATTTAAATAATAAAATTGATAAGGCTTCACTAAAAATGAAAACAAACTCAGAACAAGGGAGACAATCCAAGAAAAATGGCTGAATATTTATGATACAATGTAAATCCCAACACTGTCTTATTCTACTCTTATTCTGGTGAATCAGTTGTAGGCCCTACACATCAAATTACAATCTGTTTCACAGAGGTTTACGAAAGTCTTCTAATAATTTCTCTGTAAAAGATAACTTCCTTTAACACGTGACGTCACATCACGCGGCGTCCATCATTGGCGCGTGTATTGTTTACATAAGACATTACTGGTTCGGGCAGAATGGTGCCTTTTACCCATTTTAATAGCCTACCCATTCACACTAAATAGAAAATAATTTTTACCCACAAATACTTCAAACGTCTTTATTCATTTTTCTAATAGAAAAAAAAATGTTTTAGAATTTAATTTTTCGAGAAAAAAAAGTTAATATTTGGGACTCATTAAGTCGCATCAATGTCATCCTTATCAGTAATTGTAGTGGCCTAGTGCATATTCACTGCTGATCAGTGTGGTCAAATTATTGAAAATTATTGTATGTTTTAGTAAAATTGTAGGCCTTACACATCAAATTAAAGTAGGTCAGTCTCTAACTCAATATCATTATCCAAAGTCTTCGACATTGAAAATACAAATTATTTGTCAATTTAAATCAACATTGATGTTGTGATCTTACCTGATAAAGATGGACTTCTGATATCCACTATTGAAGACAAAATAAACATTTTACCATTGGTACACGAATCATGTACCATAATGAGTTTCAGTGCCATTTGTAACAAGGGACTCGAAGAACGAGGCTAGACATATTCCCCAAGTCATGCCAAACAGTGATGGAATATTCTTATCTGGAGAGCATGCGCAATAAATACTATCAGTATAGACTGGAATAACCAGATGCTAGAGATTGACATTCGATTGAGACTTCTGGCGTATTTCACGGAACATAACTGTTTTGAAATTAGAGTAAAAACGGAAATGATTAAATGTAAATCAGATTATACATTCATATTACATAATTATATCCGTTACGACCCTTTTGTGTTAATTTCTAGGTCCCAAATATTAGTGATCTAGCTCCTTTAATTCTTATTGCTGAAAAAAAAAATTTATTGTGTATTGTAGTAAAATGGATTATGTTCAGGGAAGAAATTCTGGTTATGATGATTATAATGATAATGGTGATGACAGAGATTTTGATTATGACATGGGAGGGTGAGTTTTATTATATATTTCCAGCCAGGTTGTCAGTAATGGCGTCAGCAGGGATGCCAAGTAGTTCAGATGTTACCAATTACCGTTTTGTAATTTAAAGATGATATATGCACAGGTAAACAAATATCCATTGACCTAAGAATTACTGTTACAACGCGTCAATCTGAGTAAAACACAGATCCAATTTCGTTTCATTTTTTAGAGTTCAAAATTTCGTTTTACTTGTCTTTACTACATTAGGATCTGGAAAAGTTGTTAAATAACCTGCTTTCTGCTTGATGTGATGGATTAGCCATTGAAACGGTCTTTTACGGCAAGTTTTTGGCATGGGATTTCTATTGCGCTAAATAACACAGAATCAGGTTGACAAGACTTTCAACCCTTTCTATTACAATCTCTTCAAATTGTCTCCAAACTCAATTTGAATATTTATTTTAATTTCTACATTGTTTTTATGTACATGTACATGTGTATATCAATATTGGTACCGGTAAATGAATCCATAAAAAATTAACAATATTTATTAACTATATTATATCATTATATATTACTATAGTTCTAAAATTGAGGGAGCTACGGTGGTCAGGGCACTGTACTCGAGACTGTAGAATACCCCTGCTTCAAATCCTAGCAACATTGTCTAGTGGTTCGGATGGTATCAAAAACCAGTGTCCTGTGTACTTGTTGGCGTGTACATAAAAGAACCCTTTCCAGTTGGAGTAGGCAGAAACCCAGCTGTCTAATTTCTCTCGGAGCAGTCTGCATTGCATATATACACAGTTTGTGCAGAAAAGTTGACGTTGAAATCGATTTCATTTCATTATGAATCCTGGCATGGGTCCTGAAGAACCTTCAGGATATATCCAGTTTAGTTCTTTTAATGAGTGGCACCAGCTCACTATAAGCCAGTTTTGCTATTTCAAAATTTCAAAAAATTTTCTTGTTAACATTTTACCGAAAAAAAAAGGGGTAAACTCTTGTCTTATCGTTATTTAAGATCATGTGTCAACAAAAAAATATTCAAATTCGTACATAAAAAAATAGGTATATCTCACTATTTATCATATGTAGTTCCCGTATGGTACATGTATTCAAATTTATGTCGGTAATATTCCTACAAAATAACATGTTTTTCGTAATACGATAAAACGAAAGCGTGCCAACGGGTACCTGCTTCTAACTCACGACAGTTATATTTATCCAAAAAGTGTATCCAGTCTCGGTTTGAATTTTTATTTAACCTAACTAAGGTCTGTTACCAGAAAGGAGTTGCGCTTTTGGGCTTTATTCGTTATGTTAAATAATACATTGATACTGCACAAGGACGTTAGTCCGAGTGAATATTGGTTCAATATATTATGCAATGTCTTGCTCAAGACAATTAAACAACTTAAAAAAACAGACACTTTCACGCATATTTTTCATCTCGTATAAATAATGTACTATTGCCAAGTTGCCCGTACACTACATGTATATATAATCAACGGATGACATCACATCTGTATTTTAATGGTTGTTAAAACATCGACACAGAAAATGCCTTTCATTCCACCTGCAGGGGTTGTATTGATGCTTCAAAGGAAAAGCAATCCAAGACTTTCGAAGATTATGTATAGATATTTTAGTATATGATGGCTAATTATCAACAATAAATTACGGAAGGCATTGATGTTTCAATACATGATTGCTTTGTCTGTTCCTCAATCCCTAAAGCGGCGGAAACACTAGCGTCATTCGGCAGAATTTCTATTCGCTCAAATGATTCACCAAAATCGAACATCTTTGATATATTCGCCTAGCGTGTGCGATTCGCCCAATTTTTAGAATTCTTTAGCCCATCTCCACTGATGTCAAGAAGTTAAATAATTGTTTGAAGACATGGTCGCTGCCATGTTGAATCATGTGATGTGAAAGGTGATTCACTGACTGGTGAATCAGGTGGAGAATTCACGTAGTGAAGTGGTTCTCAACCTTTTTTCTGCCAAAGGCACACCTTGGAACACATGAAGATATAGCGGCACACCAGGTTAAATATACTCTTCAAATAAAGTAGGGCATATTCAGAAACAATACAAAACTGCGGAAATGCACTGCTGTTTTTATTAGAGGTAATCAGTGTAGGTTAATAACAGGTCAATTGCCTACACATGAACATAAACAGTTCATACATGTATGGGCAGCTTATCTGACGGACCCATTTCACTGTCAAAAGTGAAAATGGATTTTTGTCTTAAAAATGAGTAATTAATCCACCACCGTCCAATCACGATTTGGGGCAATCTGACCCACTCCTCTTGCAGTACCACGGCCAATTCTTGCAATGTTGTCGGTTGACGTTGACGTCGACAAACATGTCTCCCGGTCATGTCCCAGACATGCTCTATAGGGGAAAGGTCAGGACTCATGGCTGGCCAAGGCATATCGACAATATGGTGACCCTGGAGGTAGTCATTCACGACACGAGCACAGTGGGCACGGCATTATCATCTTGAAGATGAAACGTCGACCTGCACGTTGAGCAAAGGGCAGAACTATCGGTGCCAGGATGTGGTCACGGTAGTACACACCAGTGACCCTTCCTTAACCAATATGCAATTCCGTTCTGCCAGTCATGGTGATTCTTCCCCACACCATAACAGACCCACGCCCAAATCTGTCATGCTGTCTGACTTTAACGTTAGCATTATGCTCATTTACACGCCTCCAAACGCGAGCACGCCTATCGGTGAAAACCAGAGTAGATCTGGACTCATTACACGCGTGCCCATCCACGATTACCCCAATTTCTACGCTGCCTACACCATTGATGCCTGTTCGCCATCTGCTGGCGAGTTAATGGAGGCACAACACGCGGTTGTCGCGTATGCAAATGGGCTGCATGTAGCTGATTTCTAATCGTTTGGGGAGTAACTCGAATTCTTGTAACTTGGTACAAGTTTACAGAAAGCTGGTTAGCCGTTTGTCCTTGATTTCGCAGGACCTGTGTATGAATGTATCGATCCTGGGCTTGTGTAGTGGCTCTAGGACAACCTGAACGAGGTCTATCATCAACATTGTGTGTTTGTTGGTACTGGTTCCACAGTCTGCTGATCACAGACTGTGACACATTAAGCATGTTGTCTACTTCTTGCTGTGTAGAACCCATTTGAAGCAAGCCAATAGCACGTAGACGTTCATCATGTTGGAAACGTCTCATCGTAAATTAAATGAAACACACTAAAGCAAGGATACGCTAAACAGTAAATCTTATGCAAGAACCGATAGAAAAGCAAACATGGATAGGATAAACCAGCACGCGGCAGTTTTCACCAACTCTTCCTTGAAGTGTCAGATTTGACAATGAACCCCTCCCCACGTGTATGGCGCTATGGCGTGTCGCACTTGCAGCTCGGTGGTTCTGTTGGGGCGATAAGTTCTTCAGCTGTGAACATACTCTCAAAGCATGTCAAGTGTCCATGACTATCTATCATATCGATCACAACCTGCATAGGTATTTGAATTTCAATATCCCCTACTTTTTTTGAAGAGTATATATATGAAAACTATTTCAATTTTGCAAAATTAAAAAATGGCAAGTCATAGACGGCATACAACCGTAGATACAGACTAGTCATAGACACTTAGAATGATTCAAACTAAATAAATAAAAACACTCTATAAACGTACCAGTAGACACCAGTGAATGCTCAATTGGGATCACATGGTTTTTTGCATTTTCTTAATGTGCTCAATTGGGATCAGGTGGTTCTTCGTGTGCCGTTAAAAACTTTGCGGCACACTTAGCAAGATCTCATGGCACACCTGTGTGCTGCGGAACACAGGTTGAGAATCACTGACCTAGTGTGTCCACTTATTCTAGTGTTTCCACCGTTTTACAATTTTTGAGTAAAGTGTATTGATATTTCAACACACGATTGCTTATTATCAACAAAACATTGAATTGTTTTATATTTCAATACATAATTGCTTGTTATCAGTAAATATTGAAAGGTATTGATATTTCAATGCCCAATTGCTTATTAGCAATAATAAATATTGAAATGTATAGATATTTTTTAGTACATGATTGCTTATTTACAATAAATATTGGAATACATTGATATTTCAGTACAGGATTGCTTATTATTAGCAACAATAAATATTGAAAGTGAAAGGCATTGATATTTTAGTACATGATTGCTTATTATCAATAGTAAATATTGGAATGCATTGATATTTATATCTTGAAATAATGGCTTTTCTTCCCTTCATGTAGCTCCAGTCGAAAGAAAATGAAGAACAATGAGGAAGCTTCAGAGAAAATGAAAAATGAACTTCAACTTCGAGAGAAACAATTGATGGCTGCAAGTGAATTACTGTCCAAACAAACCAAATTACTGAAGACACTAGAGACCAATATCAACAAACGCTTTAGTGGATCAGGTTCTGCAGATAACTCATCCATCAACATGTCTGATATGGGCACCAATATGTCAAGACCTGACATGGCCAGTAGCCAAGGTATGCCTATATCAAATAGGCCTTTGGTTCGTGACATGGGAATGCCTATGCCAGATAGGCATGACATTGGAATGCCTATGCCCAGTATTGGCAGTGACTTGAGTATGCCCAGGGCAAACAGGGGAATGCCTCCAGGGCAAAATATGGGGAACATGGGTATGCCTATGCCTAGCATGGGTAAAACCTATGATGCCCCACCCATGGGTATGCCTATGTCTAGCATGGGTAAAACCTATGATGCCCCACCCATGGGTATGGGAATGGATGGACTGAATCCACCGTTTGAATATGATCACAGGCCTGGAAGATTTTCAACATTGGATGGACCGGATCCTTCATTTGGTTCAGATTCGTTTCCATTTGAATATGATCATGAACCTGGAAGATTTTCCACCATGGTAAGTACTGGTTAATAAACAATTAAGTTGTTGTTTATTCAGATCGTATGATACTGAAATTAAAGTAGAATTCTGATCAATTCTCTGTGCTATGAAATAAAAGCATGTACAATAACATCTTCAATAGAAGGCTTGATCTTGCCTTAACTACGTACATCTTATCAAGGCCTTCACGTAATACCCTGCATATTGCGGCACAAATTTTGATTGGGTACAAACCCAAATTGTTAGCCTATCAGATTCCTCGATCGTCGCGAATACCAAGTCTCGCGCTTTCAAGCAAAAATGTCTACCTGTGATAATCGAGTTGCAAAGTTCTAGGTTCATTCAATGTCAAGTTTTCTGTGGAGGTCGCGATGTCACAACCTCTGATTGGACGCTACTGCTCACGTGTTTGTAGATAACATAGCTATAAGTTTGAGAATTGTGAAGTAAACAAGCAACGGCCAGATGTTGTGAAACTCACAGTCGTTGCTTCAGGAACATGGTACAATAATGACTTACTGTTATTGGTCATGTTGGATACTGAAATTGAAGTAGAATTCTGATAATTCTCTTGAGAATTTCGGAAAAACATAAATTAAACTCTGTGCTATGAAATAAAAGCATGTACAATAATGACTTACCGTTAGTGGTCGTATTGGATGCTGATTTTACTGTTCAGGTAATCTTAAGTCATTATTTGAATGCTATTTGATGCAACTAAATTGATCCGTTTGATTTAATTGGTTTATTTATTCTGAAGTGGTATTTTTGATTTAATATAGCCATTCATCCCATTAAGGTGGGATTGGAATGGTCTAGTGCCTAGTGGTCAAGAGTGTAGCACCTTGAGCTCTAGCCAGACCTTGAAATAACGGTTTTAGATGTACCTGACAAAATGTCAGGTACTATTTCAACTAAGTGGCAGACATTTTTTAATAATATCAATAAAAAAGACAAATCAGTGCTGGACAAAATGACAGGCACCAGAGGTTTTGAGTCTGACAAAGCCTGAATCGTGTGATTCGTGTCTGACATTTTCTGTGACAGGTGCCTTATTTCCAGGCTTGGCTCTAGCCTACCAGTCACCTAATACTACAATGGCTGTCACTTACAATGGCTGTCACTTACACTGTAAAGTTAATATTGTTCACTTATGAACAAATAACGTTTACAAATAAAAATGTGTGACACAAACATATAAGTTGTCGGTCTCTATACATAATCTATTGTACAGATTAATTATCAACTGTTATTCATCGTTTATTGCCATAAACTCTGGATAATACATTTCTAGATTTCTAGAAATTATTAATCAAGATATTTTAGTTTATTTTTGAACATAAATTGTACCTGGCCTTAAAAATCAGGGGACTATTAGAATGGGTCTCTCTGTTCGTCTGTCCCATTTTTTAGGACACAATAACTCTCCTTCTTATTGAGCTAAAATCTTTAAACTTGGTGTTGGTTATCATTATGTGAATGCCTTGATGGAATTCGGAGATGATGACCAATTTCTGCTCATTTTAACCAGAATGATAAGCAATTTGACATCTTTGATTTTAATTAAGTGAGACTGTGAGAGTGGTGAAATTTGGTCTATAGTTTCATTACATCAATACCTTGACTAATTTTGATGTGCATTTTCTACTTCTACTACATGTAAGTAGAGACTTTAATTTGATTAACCAAGAATACAATAACTCACCTTCTAATTGAGGTTGAATGTCCAAACTGATTGTTTATCAGATAAATGCCTTGACTGAGTTTGATGCAAACACATATTTGTTGTTTTTGTGTGATTTTATTGATGTTAGTCCTGAAATGACATAGTTTGTGTCAAGTGGACATTAAACCCTGTTTATCTCTTATTTCTTTAATACATCAACTAAAACCGTGGTCTTGCAAACGGTTGGTGCAGAAAAGCAGGACTTTAAACCTCATTTCATTTTGCAGCTGGTTTTACATATTTTGGGACCAGAAAGTGTATTATTTTGATAACTGAAGGCTTTCATTGCTTGAAACTCTGGGGGGCTGGATCGCTGAATGGTTAGCATGTGTCGCTGTATCATAAGGTCTGTCATTGAGTGACACTAGGGACCGGGTATCATTCAGATTTGATGAAAAAAGGAAAGAAACTGAGCTTACCATCTATAATCTAATACACATATTCAGTTAATAGATTGCCATGCGGAAAGTATTAAATACCATCAAGATTCATCAAATAACGCCCAGTTTGTGCTACCGTTTAGTTTTTAAGAAACACCATTTAGTTTTGACTTCGGTCATCTAGTTTATGACCATTTAGTTTAGTTTTGATATTGGTCATCCAGTTTATGACCATTTAGTTTCATAAACTAGACAACCGATTTCAAACTAAACGGTAGCACAAACTGGGCGGTTTTTGATGAATCTTGATGGTATTTAATACTTTCTGCATGGCAATCTATTAACTGAATATGTGTATTAGATTATAGATGGTAAGCTCAGTTTCTTTCCTTTTTTCATCAAATCTGAATGATACCCGGTCCCTAGTGTCAGCTGGCGTGGTTTCGATTCCCCAGTTGTATGTGACAAGGAGTAGGGTCGCCTGTCCAACTTCGTTGGTTTTCTCCGGGTCCTCCGGCTTCCTCCCACTGCTAAAGACCCCTACGCGCAAGCGAATTATTGAAATAAAATTGAACCATGTTTTAGTCCCAAACTGACTTGGTTTGTGTCGAGTGGTCGTTAAACCCCATATCTCTCTCTCTCTCTCTCTCTCTCTCTCTCGCTTGAAACTCTTGGCAAGTGGAAATCAAATTCTGCTGGCCCTGTCTGTGTTGTGTCGGCCCAAATGTAAATTGTATGCAAAAATTAATATTCTCTATACCGGTAATTATTAAGGATGCATTATAGCAGCGCAAAATCTGCCTATTCAGGGTTTTATTTTGGCTAGTCTATAATCAACTCTCCAGATCAGACGATGGTCGAGATTTAAATGGATTTGAACACCTGCACGATTTTTAAAAATTTAACGATAAAATGGATAATCGAGACAAGGATGAATGATCGAACCTACATCTTCAAACAGTCATAACTTTTCCCAGAAGAAAGCACTTTGAATCAAGTCTGCACTATATTCATTTTCCATTAACTACTTTTGGACTATTATAACAAGAACAGTCAACTCTTTATCTAAACCTTACATAATGCATCTTTCTGGACACCTGTTACCACTGTTTGTCGTGTATTTTGTACACGAGGAGCAGTCCATTTGCTGATTACACTATTTTGCTTGAATACACTATTTTGCCTGTAACGTTTTTTAGGACTTTGAATTCTGTCTTATGGTTTGGATTGTTCGTACTTGGTTTTATTTTATTTATTGCCACGTCTTGTTCTCATGGCGATTTCGTCCAAAAAATTCTTTAGCCGGTATAACCATAAAAAAAAGAATCCCCACTTTGGGAAAAACAAATGGGACAGTAACATGTACATGCAACTGTGTTTTGAGTCTAGTCTCCCAAACCTAATTTTTCGTGCCACTACCACTGATTTTACAATTACTTGTCGACTGAGCAAGGTTTGGGTCATATTTTCTGACATTGCGACAAGCTGTTTCAAGCACTTGTATATGTTACGTGAAAAACTCCTGACATGGGATAATGAGTGATTTCCTTTTGGATGAAAAATTCATGTACATGTACCAAATACACTAAGTGTTCACTGTAATGCTTATTGTACAACAGCGTAATGTTCAGATTCCTATACACAAAATGGCACAGTGGGTCTGACATTGGCTTGCTAACCTGGAGGTCTTGTGTTCGATCCCAATTGATTATTATCCCAATTGATGTTGAAAAGTAGGAGGATAAACCCCATTTACTAATATAACGTCCTACTTGTCTGATGAGTTCTATCCTGATGCTGGCTGAGAAAAGTTCCTGTATGTTTTCCAGCCTAGTTTCCCTTTGTGGGATAGTATAGTAACCGATGTCCCCTATACACATAACTTCATTAAAAAGAAGTCTTGGAATTCATTTAAGGATAGGAGGAAAGTCAGAATTTCATGTCTTTCTTAGTACTGTTGTTGCGTAAAACCAATTTTTTAAATGGAAAATTCCTTGGATCGAACCTGGAACTTCCGGCTTGGTGAGCCACCAGCATTATACTCACTGAGCCATCATAGCTCCTTGAGTAGTAAAGGAGCTACATCTGAGGCAATCGATTTGCAATTCCTTTTCAAACACATATACGGCAAAAATTAGCCTAATCGGTTTCACCTAATTGTCGTATTTACCATGACGATTTGCCAGATCGATTATGCAATTCTTCCAAATTGCTCACCTGCCTGATTGACGATTTGATTTCCAAGATGGTGTCCCCAACAAGGGGCACGACGTCCCCGATGTAGTTCATTTTCTTTTTGAATTTCATGTTAAAATATGAATATCATGGACATTCCTAATAAGAAAAGGGGCATTTGGGGACATTCAACTGTTAAAACTTATTGTTGTTATTTTTGGGTGGTTTCGCCAAGAACAGAATAAAGAAAAATGAATTTTTTACAATTTTCTTCAATTCTTCAGTCTTCAGCCACCTTGCGAGGCAACTCGTCGCGTTTACGAGAACCAATTCAAATACCAACTCGAGACCTATATGTCATGTACAAAATGAGATAAGTAATCGAAACTGATTTGTTTTCTCGTAAAAACACCTTAGAATGGCACATGCTCTTTGGATCAAACTCTTGACAACAATCTAGGGTTGTTTATTCACCATGTGTTGAAATTCAGTCTGAATTTCAAGAAAGATTCAAAATGGTACATTTATCTTTAAATTTGAAACAGGGATGCTTGTTTGTCTGTCTGGACTCTAAATTGACAGAATAACAATGGAGTGCCACAGTTCTGAGGGTAGTGTGAGTAGAATCGCGATGTTATTAAACACAACAAACATACATGTTTCTATTATCTTGGTTCTTACATGTATTTGGTCCTATGTCAATTCCCAGCGCAAGCTGCCCTAATGATGTGTAAGTCAGATACCAACCTATTTCTACTGTTGTTATTCCAATATCATCTAGGCAAATGGTTGCTATCTAATGCTAAGTTATGACAAGATTGTCCTTATTGTGTCCACGGATACATTTCGATACGATCAACGCGATTGATACGACTGACGCCAATGTATGATTAGACCTGATAGGATCACCACGATTTCTCCACGATTGAAACCTCGATTTCAATCGCAGCAAGAATCGTGATAGTGGGATACGTTTCGATACGATCAACGCAATTGCTACGACCAACGCCAATAAATGATTAGACTTGATAGGATCACCACGATTTATCCACGTGTGTGTGTGTGTTTGGTTGCTTGGAAACCTTATGTTTCTTTTAAATAAAAATTGTTTTCAGTATAAATAGGCCTATAATACAGGACACTGTGAGTTGGAGATAATCGTTCTTTTTATCCCATATTGGGGATCACAGTAAGTGGGTAAGACACTGGCTCGCTAGCCTGGAGGTCGGGTGTTCGATCCCTGCATTGGCCGAGAATGTTCATCCAGATTTTCCAGCGTGGTTCCCCCCTTGTCAGTGATGAAGGATGGAGGGGTGACAAGGACAGCTGTCTAGTCATTCGGATGGGATAAAAAAACAAGGTCCCGTGTACACATTGGCGTGCACGTAACAGATCCCTTGATAGTTGGAATTCGATATATGAGTAGGCCGTAGTGCCGCTGACCGGGCAAAATTTCCCTCATAGCACACTGTATGGCATATGCCCGTCTTCATTAGCCCTGTTCTGAGCAGAACAGTAGGACGTTAAACCCCATTTCATTTCATTTCCATATTATATGATTTCCTCCATCTTTCAGCCTCAACCAATAACTAGAGATTATAATCATGGACGACAATCGTATCTTGGAGGAGGAGGAGGGTATCCCCTAGAAACTCCTTTCTTGAGAGGAAACAAGGATCAGAGCCGAAAGCGATTGCTAAACAAGAAAAATGATGGACAGAAGAGTAGTAGCAGTAGACAGAATTTCGGGAACATGAAGCCTGTTCCTGAAAAAAAGGACTTCCAATCAAATAAACACACTAATCAAGGTGAGTAAGAGTCTTGAGGCCCACATTTCATCTACGTGTTTTTTCGCTGGTGAAAAAGTAGGTCTAATGTAGTGATTCTCAACCAGTGTGCCGCGAAATTTTAAACGGCACACTAAGAAAATTTCTCACTAAAGAATCCATCTATCTGACTGATGAAATTTGAAACACTGCAATAAAGTAAGTTCATAGCCGTGTTTTTCTTCATTCATTGTTAAGTTTGGGTCATTCTATGTGTCTATGACTAGTCTGTATCTACGGTTGTATGCCGTCTATGACTTGTCATGTTTTTATTTTGCAAAATACAAATATTTTCCATATATATTTAGCTAGGTGTGCCGCTAATTTTTTCATGTGTTCCAAGGTGTGCCGTTGGCAAAAAAAGGTTGAGAACCACTGGTCTAATGCAAATGTAATAGGACAATTTCCATGTAACAGGCGAAAACGCGAGTTTTAACGAGTACATGATAAACGGGCTTAATCACTGTTTTATCACAAATATTTCATGCCTTAACTATATAGATACACGTTTTATGATTGTGGTCAAAACAATATGTGCATCTCAAGAAAGCGTTGTTTCGGGACAGTCACGCTGTCATTAAAAACCCAACATCTGTTTCACCGTAGTGATCTTGAAAAATAATCCCCTGACAATGACAGGCATACAGATACCTACCGTCGTATGAAACCTGAAAAATATTTCACCGTATCGCAAGAGGTCAGTACGAAAACTAACACTTATTACAGTATTAAAACACAGTTCAGCGAATCTAACATTGTGCGGTAAAATAGACATTCGGCGGCAAAACTGAACGATGACTCATAACTAAACACATTGTAATTACTGAACATCGCACGTGAAATAGGATATTTGACAACAAAATTGAACACCTTGCGTAATTGGACACATTGACTAATTTTAATCATGGCTCCGGAAATTGAACGGTCCAACTAATTATTGAAAAGTCGTGATAATTAAATGTGACGCTTATAATTAAGCACGTGTCAACAAACTAAACACTAGTTAATTAGACGCTTGGTAATCAAAATTAAACACTGAGATTTAAATTCGATACAAGTACAAATAGAACACTATTAGCCAAAATTTAACTATAGTTATGAATATTTGATCACAGGACAGAAATTAATGCTATTTACGCGAGCTTAAACGATACCAATCTCACAGTGTAAGTATGGATGAGCAGTTAGTTTGATCACAAATATTTTCTGCTTTAACTAGGTATAGATAAAGCAGTTAGATTGCTTGATGCTTTATAAAAGACAAGTGTTTAATTAATGAATATGTATCATCTATATATTTAGTATGTGATATCGGCCTCACCTTTGGTTTTATTTTTTTACTTCTTTGTTTCATGTTTTAGGTAACAAGAACAAGAATAAAGGCCCTAACCAACAAAATAAAGGGGCTAATCAGCAAAATAAAGGCCCTAACCAACAAAATAAAGGCCCTAACCAACAAAATAAAGGACCCAACCAACAAAATAAGATTTTAAATAAACAAAATAAAAGAAGTATTGGACAAAGTCAAGGCCTTCAAAAACCCCTACCTGGATTAATGTCATTGAAGTCTAACCGTGATAGTGTAATTATTTCATATTAGCTATTTTAGATGCATTATGTAGGATTTAGATAAAGAGCTGGCCGGTCTTGCTACATAATGAGAAATGAATATAATATTAAACAGCAAAAAAAACATCAGTACAATTTCAAAATCAGAGAAGCACTTTAATCAAATCATTCTAGAAAACGACTTACCTAAATGGATCAATGCACATGCAGCATGAATTACATGAAAATCATGGAGAACATATTACCATCTCAGAAGTCAGGTTGCGATTTTGAGAACATTTCCTGGAGTTCAATTCTGTGTTTGGGAAGGAGCCTTATAGCTCCAGTAAAGTTGGAGATGAGGTCACAAATATACAATAAAAACATTTGGCAAGTTTTATACAGTGCATCTATTCAGAGTAACATACCAAACTGACGTTTCTTTTGCTGTTTAGTATATTAAAATTACTTTATTTCGAGTGTGGTTATGAGGCTTTGAAGTTTTGACAAGATATAGGTAAATAAAAATGTAGCCTTGATTGTCAAGTATAATATTGCTACTACAATAAACGAAGTCTAGATTATCCATTTATCAATAAGTTATTTAATGCTGTCCTATATTCTAAACCATTCAATATCTCAACCATCTGATTGTCGAGAGAGTTGATTCCAGGGTTGACATATGAGTTCATGGAACTGTTTAAATAATTTACATAACATTTGAAGCCAGAAAGACCTGCAATAGGTACATTTAGCTCTTACATAATGCATCTTTAGGTTTATTTCATATTCGAGGCTAAGTGGGTAAGACACTGGCTCGCTGGCCTGGAGGTCGGATGCTCAATCCCTGCATTGGCCCGAGAAAGTTCAATCAGATTTTCCGATGAGATTCCCCCTTGTCAGTGATGCAGGACGGAGGGCCTGACAAGGACAGCTGTCTAGTTGTTCGGATTAGATGAAAAACCGAGGTCCTGTGTATACATTGGCGTGCATGTAAAAGATCCCTTGGCGGGTGGAATTCTGTGTAAGAGTAGGCTGTAGTGCCGCTGCCCGGGCAAAATTTCCCTCATAGCATACTGTATGGCTATGCCCGTCTTCATTAGTTCGGAGCAGAACAGTAGGATGTTAAACCCCATTTCATTTCATTTCATATTCTTAGGAAACAAAATTTATCAGACTTTTTAAAAGTATATTGCATTGAAACACAATCAGGTCATTTATTCGAGCCACATACATTATTTTATTTGAAAGTATGATATTCTAATGGACCAAGAAAAAAGAATTTATATTTTCTAGCTATATTTATATTTAATACCAACCAATTAGTAGTATCTCAGTTGTCAAGAATATATCTCTAACAAAGCTAATTTCATTTCAGAATAAACCTGCTGTAACAGGAAATGAGTTAGCAACCAGTTTCATTGGGTAAGGTCATCAAACTTGTACCAACTACCGTCTTTGATTTTACCTTTTATTGCCCACCTTTGTCCATAATAATGATTTTATTTAAGAAGGGTAAAGGATTAGGTTGCAGAAGCCTTTCTACCATCCTGGCCTTCATGAAAAAACTATAATACAAATGATGATATCCATGACACTAGGGACCGGGTATCATTCAGATTTGATGAAAAAAGGAAAGAAACTGAGCTTACCATCTATAATCTAATACACATATATTCAGTTAATAGATTGCCACGCAGAAAGTATTAAATACCATCAAGATTCATTAAATAACGCCCAGTTTGTGTATTAGATTATAGATGGTAAGCTCAGTTTCTTTCCTTTTTTCATCAAATCTGAATGATACCCGGTCCCTAGTGTGAATTTCTATGTGGGATTTTATTGTTTGACCATTGAATCGATCACGGTTGATTTTCATACAACCCTATGATCTTGATTGGGGTTGATTTCCAAGCAACAGTACAGCAAATGTAGTCTTGATTGCTGTTAATTTTTATACAAAAGTACAGCATTTGTGTAGTCTTGATTGGGTTAGATTAACAAACTATAGTGCAGCACAGTAAAAATGGAGTCTTGATTAGGGTTGATGTACATCCTTGAAATGGGGAGGGGTTTCAAGAGTTACAAAAAGAGTAAGCTTAACCAGCCTTATGCATGACCCCCAATCACTACTGGGAAAACCAGGGCCAATGGCCACCAGCAGCGAAAGATTAAAATACAGCAGTGTAACCAAAAGAATGGAATTAAATGGGGTTCAATGTCCAACTATCGTCACCAACTAGGCTCATAAAGACAGGGAGCAACAAAACGTCAATAATGCATGTGACAATAGGTTTGGGTGGGGGGGGTTGCTTTGGATCAAAAGGTCTATTATTAAGTCAAGTGGCATGATCTGATCTCACGCTTGTACATGACAAGGAGACCGGCTGCCTACCCATCCTCGTTAGTTTTCCTTTGTTTCTCCAGTTTTCTCCTACTGTTAAAGACACCTACGTGCATGCAAATTATTAAAATAAAATGGTAACATATGTCTGTCACACTATGACCTAGATTTTGTCAAGGGGATGTTAAAACACATTTCTCTCTCCTTTGGATGTAGTTTCATGATAACAATCAAGTAACAATAAATAGCGAGTACAGATTTTGTACTACGTCATTCAAGATTGTTTATTATTATTATTTTTTTTTTCTTTTTCTGCCTTTTCAGAAGTTTTTGTCCATCATGTAATTTAAAGATACGAGAGCCAAACCATCATCTAATAAAACCCCATCTTGTAAGTATATCTTGTAACCATTGGTTTTCATCATGCAATATCACAACAATCTAATGGCCTAGAAAGGTGCGTATAGGCTTGTCTAAACAATAATTCATATAGCATTTGGGGATCACGTGGCTAAGTGGGTAAGACGCTAGCTCACTAGCCTGGAGGTCGGGTGTTCGATCCCTGCATTGGACGGGAAAGTTCATCCAGATTTTACGGCGTGGTTCTCCCTTATCAGTGATGCAGGACGGAGGTGCTGACAAGGAAAGCTGTCTAGTCGTTCGGATGGGACGAAAAATCGAGGTCCCGTGTACACATTGGCGTACACGTAAAAGATCCCTTGGCAGTTGGAATTCGATATAAGAGTAGGCCGTAGTGCCGCTGTCCTGGCAAAATTTCCCTCATAGATAACTGTATGGCGTATGCCCGTCTTCATTAGCCCAGGTTAGGAGCAGAACAGTAGGACGTTAAACTCCATTTCATTTCATTTCACATATAGCATTTGAAGCCAGAATAAAGATCCAAAATAGACGGATTTAGCTTGGTGAAGGTTGCGACAATTCGAAAAAACCCTTATTGTAATATTCATGAGAATAATTTTCTAAACAATAATTGAAGCCACTCACTGAGCCACCTTTGAACCACATGTTTTTGGAAAATAAATAAATACCACGACAATTTAAAATTTTGATTAATCTTATTGTTTAACTACAGGGCCGTATGCAGAAGGTTAAAAAGGGCTGTATCCTATGTGGAACAGGAAGCTTTCGTCATCATTTGGAACTTGAACATCATATGAGTAGCCAGGAACATAGAAGGGTAAACTATTCCTTCTTTTAAACTAAAGTAGCAATGTTATTAATTTATAAAAAAAACCAATCAGTCCATTCTTTGCACGAAAGGCGGGTTGCATGGCCTAAAGGTTAGCTCGTTCGCGTTTTAGCATTAGGTCTGTCATTGAGTCAACTGGCTTGATTTCGATTTCCCGGTTGTTCGTGACAAGGAGAAGGGTCTCCTGTCCAGCCTTGTGGGTTTTCTCTGTGTCCTCCGGTTTCCTCCCACTTCTTAAGACCCATACGTGCAAGCGAATTATTGAAAAAAAATTGAATCATTTGTTAGTCCCAAAATGACATAGTGTCGAGTGGACGTTAAACACCATTTCTCTCTCTCATTAACCTGGTTGGTCTGTCCTCATTAGCCTGGTTGGTCTGACCTCATTAACCTGGTTGATCTGTCCTCATTAGCCTGGTTGGTCTGTCCTCATTAGCCTGGTTGGTCTGTCCTCATTAGCCTGGTTGGTCTGACCTCATTAACCTGGTTGATCTGTCCTCATTAGCCTGGTTGGTCTGTCCTCATTAGCCTGGTTGGTCTGTCCTCATTAACCTGGTTGATCTGTCCTCATTAGCCTGGTTGGTCTGTCCTCATTAGCCTGGTTGGTCTGTCCTCATTAGCCTGGTTGGTCTGACCTCATTAACCTGGTTGATCTGTCCTCATTAGCCTGGTTGGTCTGTCCTCATTAGCCTGGTTGGTCTGTCCTCATTAGCCAGGTTGGTCTGTCCTCATTAGCCTGGTTGGTCTGTCCTCATTAGCCTGGTTGGTCTGTCCTCATTAGCCTGGTTGGTCTGTCCTCATTAGCCTGGTTGTTCTGTCCTCATTAACCTGTTTGGTGCAGAAAAGCACAGCTTTAAAGTTTAAACCCCATTTCATTCACTTATTTATTTGTTTCTTGTTGGTGTTATTGATTACAATCTGGTTAAAATTAGATGATAAAATTAGACGAAAAGCATCTTTACGAAGTACAGATTCATTTGACCTTAGTGACTTAAGTTTCTTTTTCATTTTTACAGTAGTGAAAAAAATGCCAACATTAAAGAATAGGAAGTGTTGCTAAGAAATGAATCGCGATTGACCTTGTCACGATTCGTCTACTTAATCGCGATACTCTGAATCAGTGTATTGCATTCCTTTTTTATGTTTTTTGTCGCTTTTGTAAATAACCTATTGCTCTTAATTATCCATGTCACACATTATCAATAGGTACACAAACAGTCTTAAATTGTTGTGGTCCTTATTTTGATCCACATCAATATCTTGATATAAAACATTTTTATTTCTTTGACATCGGCAGGACTAAAAATATCAATTATTTCTTTCTCCTGTTGTTTACATGGTGAATATTGACATGGTTATGAATCTAGATACGAATCGTATAGTAGCACCTGAATTGCAATACCTGTAGTATCGTGACTGCAGTGGCAATACCCAGCCCTAGTTCGGTTCCATCAAAACATCATCAAACCCTTAATACACATTTGGAGCCATGGTGGCTAAGTGGGTAAGACGCTGGCTCGCTAGCCTGAAGGTCTCATGTTCGATCCCTGCTTTGACCGAGAAAGTTCATCAGGATAATCCGTCGGTTGTGCATGACAGAGGGCCTGACAAGGACAGCTGCCTAGTCATTTGGATGAGACGAAAAACCAAGGTCCTGTGTATACATTGGAATGCACGTAAAAGATTCCTGGGCAGTTGGACTTCGATATAAGAGTAGGCCATAGTGCCGCTGCCTGGGAAAAATTTCCCTCATAGCACACTGTATGGCGTATGCACGTCTTCCTTAGCGCAGTCGGAGCAGAACAGTAGGACATTAAACCCAATTTCATTATTCATTACAGTATATATTAAACTTATATTTTGTTTCAGATTCGTCGATTAGTAAAACAATATCCAAAGACTAAACTGAAGTATAGTAACATAAAGACGGGTGTTCCAGAATATGATGCAGTAAAAACAGATACCGTATATGGTATGTAAAACATTGACCAAAATTTCGTGAACATAACCCTGTCAGCTTTTGTTTGTACTTGATATGTAAGAAGCAGAATATAAGTATCTTAAAATGTAAATGTCAAAAGAATCAAACACTGGTTGAAAAGTTCTATACATATATACTAAAGTTTTGGGTTGGTTTTTTTTCACACCACGATTTCACACACAATCTTATAATACAAGTTCCTGTAATTACATATCAAGTACAAACATCTTAATGTTAAAGACCCCATAACTAACTTGTATTGAGGGAGCCATGTCCTAGCTTGGCACAAATGTGCCAACTCCAAGACGCTCTCCCTCATTCCGTCACGCCTACCCTCCTCTCTAGCCGCCCAAGGCCTCTGCTCTGGGCTCGTCTGCCGATTCGTTTGTATTCTGGGTTTATAAACTCTTCTAGACAAAGACGCTCTCCCTCGTTCCGTCACGCCTAGCCTCCTCTCTAGGCGCACATGGCCTCTGCTTTGGGCTCGTCTGCCGATTCGTTTGTATTCTGGGTCTATAAACCCTTCTAGACAAAGGATCTCATTAGACATCTGGCTACTGCATCCTATCAGATTTAACATTCAGTACAGTTTGCTTATCAGACAAAGGAAGATAAATAAAACACTCAAGCCACAAGTTGATGTTACATAATGACTAATGAATGCCAGCAGGACCACCAGGAGTGAGGAGTGTCAATAGTGGACAGGTTGATATTAAAATGACTTTCATGTGTCAAGATGGCACTAAGCGTCGCTATGTAACATTACATAAATGTGAGAATCATTGGTTATATTAATGTGAGAATTATTTGTTATATTAATGTGAGAATCATTAGTTATATTAATGTGATTTATATAAACATGAGAATCATTGGTTATATTTATAGGTGCTGAAGTTGTAGAAGAGATGAAAGGAATGTATTGTCATGCTTGTGATATGTTTTTCCCAAGCTCAAACCCAGATAAAGATTACAAAAAACATCTGACATATAGGATTCACCATACAAACTATGTGGTAAGTGCAATACACACTTGTTTGTTTCTAAATTGTGTACTCAAAATGATTGCATCTGAGTGACTATGCAATTGAAACCAGACTAATACCCCTGATGAGTGGGAACCAGACTAATACCCCTGGCGGGTTGAAACCAGACTAATACCCCAGGTGAGTGGGAACTAGACTAATACCCCTGACGAATAGGAACCTGACTAATACCCCTCACAAGTTCATACTAATACCCATGACAACTTGGAACCAGACTAATACCCCTGATCAGTTTTTATGAGACTAATACCACTGATAAGATGGAACCAGGCTGATACCCCTGACGAGATGGAACCAGACTGATACTCCTGAAGAATTGGGGACCAGACTAATAATCTTATTGGTTTTCTCTTTGTCCTACGGTTTCCTCCCAAGTCTTTGACCAAGCAAATATGAATTGAACCATATGTTATTCCCCCAATGACCTAGTGAGTTGATGTTGAACACATCTCTCTCTCTCTCTCTCTCTCTCTTTCTCTCTCTCTTATTCTCTTATAAAGGATCTTGTGTTTGAAATATTCATTGATGTGCAATGATTATATAGCAGTTAAAAAATCTTGAAAATGATAAAGACACTTGAGAATTTGGGGTTTTGAATTTAATTTGAAATCTCTTACTTTTTTGTAGAAATATAAAAAGGCTAAAATATTCGAAGAATTGTTGGCCAAACAGGGAGGTGGAGTAGGGATCAAAGGGAAAAATTCAGTTGAAGAAATTGATGAAGACGTGGATGCTGAGGAGGACGGAATTGACATGGAAATGGACGGAAATGACATGTGATTAAAGTCACTCATCATCAGCTGATCATCACACTGTAACATGGGGGTCATTTCATCTTGTGTATCTAGCACTAATTTCTTTAACATTTGTTTAATATCAAATCTTTATGCAAGAGCTAAATCTGCCAATTACAGGTCTTTCTTTAGGCCTGAAATGTTATCTAAATTAATATTTAGACATTATTTAACTTATCCAGACCATAATCAACTCTCGATGGCATCGGTTCATAGTGGATCAATTTGATTTCCTAACCACTGTTCAAATATTAATCATTATATATCAATAATCAATTGTTTTTTTTATTTTTTAACAGTGATCGAGAAATTAAACGCTTGTAAATTGGACACTCATTATCAAAATTGAATGGTCAGCTTTAAACTGGACACAAGTACAAATTGTGTGAATTTTGGTGATTTTAAATGATTTTTACAAATTTTTAAACAATGATTTGATATTGAATAAATATGAAAGAAATTAGGGCTAAATACACAAGATTAAATGATACCAGGATTCCAGTGTCAGTTCCTGTCATTATTTACAAAAATATGTTAGACTGAACATTTGTCCAATAAGTAAATTACTGTATTGTCGTGTTTCTGATTGTTTCCTTAAATTCACCTCGTGTACATGGATGCCATGTTATTCATGTTTTTATGTGTTATATGTTTTAGATTTATCTTAGGGATTTCAAAATCCTGTGAATTCTTATCCCGGGATCTGGGATGGAATTTGCACTCAAACCCGAGATTTCTAAAATGGGATTCACTAAGAGTTCATATCATCATGGTCCAATTCGGTGAATATTTTATATTGAAACAGTGTACAGTGACAAAGAGTACACAAACCAAGAATCGTGGTTCTTAGCTGCCAAAATTGAAAACAAAAGTGAGATATATTATTTAAAAAGATATGTTGGATTGGAACTGCACCAAATGATTCACAAAAATGAGGGCTTCTGAAATCTAATCCAGGGAAAGAAAATCTCAATATCAAACCCTAATTTCTATTTAAATAATTATCTGTATTGTGGTTTTAACTCTTTGTTCTCAAATGTATATAGAGAATCTCCTACGAGTATTTTTTTATATCAAAATAGACGAGTAGGAGGTTTTATTTATCACCCAATCCTTTCTTACATGCACAGAAAAATAAATATAATTCTTTGCTATAAATTTCACTTTTACTGAACCTGATTACATTACGGCGTAGTGATACATCATTTTTTGACAGCAATTCCACCATTGCAAAGTCCTTTATATTGACCCAGTGTTTCCATCAAGGTCAATTTAATAAAAATAGTTTATTTTTAATAAAAAAAAGAAGTTATTTTTAATAAAAAATGAATTGTTCTTTGAAAATAAAAAAAGTACTTCCTTTTCAATTGACCAATCAAATTCATGTGAAGCAATATATCCTATTATGAAATTTATCGCACAAGCAATATCTACTGTAGAATTATTATTGGCTGATAATATTATTTTCTTGTATATTGGTGTCTCATCACTTATTTTTAATAAAATGTATCATTTGCTTGATAAAATCTGAAGAATCCTGATCAAAACTCTGATCATGCGATGAATTGAGCTTTATTTTTTGATTAAATGTATATTTGCTTGATAGAGAAACTTAGGAATCCTGATAGAAAGTTTTTTTCATTCTATTTTAAAAATAATGATTTTAGTTTGACCTGGCAAGAGGTGACCACAGACGTAGTACCTGATAATTTTTAAAAACTCTGTGGCTGACATGTATTAAACATATAAATAATATTTAATATCTAAAAACTAATAGTCAATTTATTCTCATGAAATTATCATAGTATGTGATGCATTGATTTTTTTGGTCAATGTTTATCAGACATTAAGAAATAATAATATCACAGCATCTGGCACATCAATGGTTTAGTTTCTAGTCTGCACATAAATTGATTGCAATGAAAAATCTACTATTTTTATAAAATACTTGATTTTATATATTTGTTAAATGTTTGCAATAGGTACACTGTGGGTCAGTTTCATGCTTAGTTTGATAGGTGTTCTGCCATTGGCAGGGCTGGTGACAGACATGTAGGTCTGTTTCATGTTAGTTTTTGATAGGTGTTCTGCCATTGGCAGGGCTGTTGAAAGACATGTAGGTATGTTTTATGTTAGTTTTTGATAGGTGTTCTGCCATTGGCAGAGGCGGTAACAGACTGTTTTGCACAACTTCTTGACCACACCACTAAAAGAGTTTTTCAACTTGTTGATTTTCTAATACAGATGTTATGTACAGAAGAGTGAAAAGCACTTGTGAATATATAGAATAGATATAATATGTACAAAACTGTAGTCCTGAAAGCTCAGAATTTGACCCCCTTTGAGGTCAGTACCTCGACAACAGCTTATCCTAATGGTAGCACCAACCCTGTCTGTGAATACTTTTTGATCGTTTTTGTGGGTGAATTTTCTCATATATTTTTTCCATTACAATATTGTAGTAAGTATAGTGGTTTCTTTTGTACAGCTAATGCTTTTTTCAAATGTATTTTTCTAATTGTCAAATTTATCAGTAGTCAAATTAAACATGCATAGCTTCAATTTATTTTGTTCTTTTTCTTTTTAAAAATGGGGAATCCCACATATGGCTGTGCTTAATCATACAGTTGATCACGTGGAGATGAATTGAGATTTAACGTCCTATTTTTCTGTACCAGCCAGGCTATATAAGACAGGCATATTCCATGACGCGTACCATTAGAGAAATTTTGCCCGAACCGCACCGAGATGGCCTACACTTATTTTGAATTCAATTATTTTACGTGGCTGTCGTCTTGGACGCCATCTTGAATTTCTCAAAACGCTCAGGGGTGACCAAGGTTCACCCGGCAGATTCTGAAAGAGGACACCCTAGGCTACTAAAATCAATCATAAAAAAAACTTTGTATACAATTTCCAGGTCCATTCGAAATATTGGGTTTGGCGTCCGAACTATATTGACAAATATCTTCAAGAAATGACGAGCACACGGTTTTCTTTTATCCAAACACATCCCTGAAATGCATAAAACAGTAGAAAATCAGTCATAAATTAATTAAAACCGTTTTCGGGCATCCTAAATTATTCGTAACTAGGCAGTGTGGGCAATTGTTTTGTTTGCACTCAGCAATGTTTGCTTAATAAAGTCGAAGTTTCTTAATCACGGTTTGAACAAATTCTGCCATTATCTGCCTAATAAAAAGTTATTGGTCACAAGAAATTGCTTTCAAATATTATAAGGTAGGCGAAATAGCAGCTGAAATGGGACTAATAAACCGGAATTATGCCAAAATTGTATATACGGCAACCGCCAGATTCCTAAGCATCACATAGTTTTATAGGTAGTGTAAGCACGAGCTGCCCTTGTCTGAACATGAACTAGCAACAAAATTGTGACAGTCTGCAAATAAAATAAGATTCACCCTTAAACATACATTATGTAAGAGCTCAATCTGCCTATTGCAGGCAAGGAACTGTGGGTATCCCACTAGAAACATCGACACTTATTGGTTAATCAAATATGTGACTTCATAGAGTCAAAGGCCTCTCGTTTGACCCCTGACTCGACCTCAAACTGCAAGCGGTCAGATCTTCATGTAGTGGAGGCCAACGAAAGTATAAAGAAACGAAACGAAATATAAATCTGTATTTTAATCAGATTGCATCTAAAGTGCTCGCGATAGACTACTAGACTCTTGAAAGCCACTCACTACAAACATCACATTGGTATATTTTACTCTGAATAGACGCATTGCATAAAACTTGCCAAATGTTTTTATTGTATATTTGTGGCCACATCTCCAACTTTACCTGGGGAATAAGGCCCCTTCCCAAACACAGAATTGAACCCAGGAAATGTTCTCAAAAACGCAACCTGACTTCTGAGATGGTAATGTATTCTCCATGGTGTCATGTAACTCATGCTGCACGTGCTGTTCACCGGGACCAGCCCAATAAAATGCACCCCCATACCTGGTTGAATCTTTAACACTACAACGCCAGCAGCATGCCACGACAGCTCAGAGGAACCAGGCGCTTGGAACACTCGACGATGGCCACACTGCCCATGCCGTTGCCAATCACTTCTAGGTCAATGTTCGAACCATCTACAGGCTTCAGCAACGATTTCGGGCCAACAACACCACAGACGATCGCCTCCGAACTGGTGAACCAATTGTTACCACAAGGCGACAAGGCCGCCATGTTGTGCGATAGCACGTGCAGAATCCCTTCACACAGACATCTGAGATAGCACGTCAGACGGTGAGAACACATGGAAGACCCATCAGTACCGATACAGTGCGACGACGTCTCACCAGAGAGAACATCCATTGCCGTAGATCTTACCGTGGACCGATCCTCACCCCTCGCCATCGACGTGAATGTCTACAGTTTGCCCAACAACACAAGAACTGGCGACACACGCAATGGAGAATTGTTCTGTTCACAGATGAGAGTCGAAATTGCGTATCAACTGCAGATGGCAGGACCAGTATGCCCAACAACACAAGAACTGGCGACACACGCAATGGAGAATTGTTCTGTTCACAGATGAGAGTCGAAATTGCGTATCAACTGCAGATGGCAGGACCAGTATATGGCGTCTACGTGGCCAGTGTTTTTCTGACCAATATGTCATGGAACGAGACCCATGGGGAGGTCCAAGCATAATGGTTTGGGGTGGAATCGGCCTGAACCAGGGAGTGGGTCCTGTAATGTTCCAAAATCTTGGTCCAGGGAGAGGAGGCGGCATCACAGCAGTGCGCTACATCGATCAAGCTCTCAGACCCCACGTCATACCACATTTCGTACGTCATCGAAACAACATTTTCTAGCATGACAACGCCCGTGCCCACACCGCCATAGTTACTCGGGACTTTCTACAGCAGAACGCTGTCAACGTTATGCACAGGCCAGCCCTTAGTCCGGACTTAAATCCGATTGAACATCTTTGGGTTGAAATTCAGGGGAGACTTAATAACGTCGTACTGAGACCAAACACAAACTCTTTACGAACGAAACTAGATGTTGTTGATAATATATCGTCAGTGTATATGCAGATATTGTAATTGAATTGCTGCCAAATAATGAATGAACGAAATGTAGTTTAATGGCACGTCAGCCCCAGTCGGGCGATGTTGCGCCAAGCATATGGTGAAATACAAAACCGGCGAAATCATATCACATAAACAAAAATTATTTGTATGCATAATAAAAATAAATATCACAGAGTATTTTAAAATAGAATTAAATATCACATGATGAAATACATACAAATATTTAAAATGTAAAAATGACAATGATATGTATATATATGTACAATTAAAATTTACGATAAAATCCTGTCTTTTTTAAAAATTGGGGGGTTGAATGGCCGAATGGTTAGCATGTGCGCACTGTATCATAAGGCCTATTATTGAGTCAACTGGCGTGGGTTCGATTCCCCGGTTGTACGTGACAAGGAGTATTGTCGCCTGTCCAACCTCGTGGTTTTTCTCAGGGTCCTTCGGTTTCCTCCCACTGCTAAAGACCACTACGCGCAAGCGAATTATTGAAATAAAATTAAACCATAATGTTAGTCCCGAAATGACCTGTATAAAATCCACTTTTCACTCTCGTTCAATGTTAATGTCCTATCAGTCTGGTTGCCCCATAGAAAGGGTGTATTTAGATTTTCTGAGACCCTTACCTGTCATTGTCTGTTGACGACGGCGGATGGTAGATTCTCCTGCCCTTTTTTTGGCTCCAGGCGATGCCCGATGTCTGTTGACGACGACACTGCAGCCTCTCTCGATCCCGCGACGAAAGCGCAAGCCAGGAAACGATACCCGTTAACGGGTTATCTGTTGCCGACACTGTATTCTCTCACCCGCAACGAGGGCGCATTCCCAGGCGTATTTTGTCTGCGCTCGACCGCCTCTCTCTCTCTCTCTCCCTCTCTCCCCCCCCCCCCCCGTGCGCCGCGTAGGGCTCTACCCGTCCTTTTCGGATTTACCTGTCTTCGAAAGACACCTGCCGAAACACACAGGTCGGACACACACCACCCCGTTCGCCCCGGGAGGGCGAAGCGAGGCCCAATCGGTTCGTTGGCGGCCGACGGAAGTAGACGCGGACGTCGTGGGATGGGATTCCGGGTTAGAGACGTTCAGTGGTGACGCATGTTTGTGAGGACCCCCTAAACCTGGACTCCAGGACATTTTAGTGGCTGTAAAAACGTGTTGGATCGAGAATGTGATTGGCAGTTGTGGCCCAAAGTCAGTAATTCGCACTTTGTCGTGTCCAGGTGTCACGGCTGGGGGTGAGCGGCCACGGGTGATCCGGTATCCATTCTGCAGGTCGCGCATGAAAACTAAAAAAAAATTTTTTAAATTTGCCACGCCCCCTTCTGGACATGTCATACAAAACAAAATTGTACCAAAGGTCCTAAAATTTTGCGTGGGTGAGGTTGGGTGGGCCTTGGGGAGGTGAGGGGGCTGCTCCGTGGTGGGGTGGGGTCAGTGTCCGGGTCGGTCATTGGTCCACGCAAAATTTTCTTTTTCCTTGGCCTTAGCTGGCGCTGGCATAATTCAATAATTGCGGTCATTTATCCTTGTAGTCTACTTTTTTCAGACATTTTTATTTAATATAAATAAGTTTTAAAATATACGCCTGCGGCGATGCCAAAATATACAAAGACATATAACAATATTCAAATATTATAAGTTTAGACCCCAAACAGGGAAATAGCCAGCTGTAGCCGTTTGAACCCATATCTATCACCCTTATATGCAGTTGGGGAGCCACGTTAGCTAGGTGGTTAAGACGCTGGCTCGCTAGCCTGGAGGTTGGGTGTTCGATCCCTGCATTGGCCGAGAAAGTTCATCCTGATTTTCCGACGTGGTTTCCCCTTGTCAGTGGTGCAGAACGGAGGACCTGACAAGGACAGCTGTCTAGTCCTTCGGGTGATATGAAAAACCGAAGTCCCATGTATATATTGGAATGCACGTAAAAGATCCCCTGGCAGTTGGAATTCGATATAAGAGTAGATAGTGCCGCTGGCCGGGCAAAATTTCCCTCATAGCACACTGTATGGCGTATGCCGTCTTCATTAGCCCAGTATAGGAGCAGAACAGTAGGACGTTAAACCCAATTTCATTTCATATATGCAGTTGCTGTGATTTCATCTAACAGACCGTAATTTCTTACAGTCTACTTGCGCTAAACTATATGCAATAGAAATATAGACAGTGAAAAGGCAAGCTGCAGAGGTCTGGATCCATCACTTCAATATAGTTATCTCCGTTTAGTCCTATGACACTTTATTTTAAACAAAATATTCTACGGATCTAAAACCAGGAAAAAAATGTCTAATGATTCAAATAAAAGGAAATTTACACTTCTGAGTCAAACATAGTGTGCATTTATTAATAGCTGAACTAATCGAAGATTATTCAACATAATTTATCGCCACAGACTATGAGAAGAAGACTATGAGACGAAATTTGTGTTTGACCATTCGTTCACCCGCCCCCTAAAACATATCACGTGTTTATTAATAGCTATTACTGTAAAGTATAAAATAC